AAAAGTGAACTCATTTTGTTTTCAGCTGATTCTTTAAATTTGATACTGTATTAACATATTCTGACTAATATGCATCAATAAGACAATAAGTTAAACTAAAAATATACAAATTCAATATCTTGAAATAGTACTGCTTATTAAGAAATTGAATATATATATATATATATATATATATATATATATATATATATATATATTTTTTTTTTTTTTTTTTTTTTTTTTACTTTGAACTTTGATATAGATATATATTTGAAATAGATGTCATATTTGATTAATGTATTACTAATACAGCTTAATACAGTGATTTTATGAAGGGTAAAACACTTTAATCTCAATTCAGAGGTCCAAGCGGTACAAAAAATATTTTATGTATATCCAATGTGTTTGATATGTACAAAATTCAAATTGTTTATAAATCTATGAGATTTTTAAAACAATATAACAGACTATTTTATAAGTATAAACATGCAGGACTGCCAATGGTTCAGTACAGTCACATTACATATTAGCCTTTGAATGACATCAGCCAATAGATGGCAGTAAAGGCTTCAGTAACTAATACACACTGCAAATAGTACATAAGCTCATATATTGTTTATTATATACAGACGAAGTCAGAATTATTTGCCCCTCATTTGTCATTTTGAAAAATTTCCCAAATGATGTTTAACAGAGCAAGGAATTTTTCACAGCATGACTGATAATATTTTTTTCTTTTGGAGAAAGACTTATTTGTTTTTATTTCGGCAAGAATAAAAGCAGTTTTTAGTTTTTTTAAAAAACATTTTAAGGTTACAATTATTAGCCCCTTTAAGCAATATTTTTTCGATAGTCTACAGAACAAACCATCATTATACAATAACTTGCCTAATTACCCTAACCTGCCTAGGTAACCTAATTAACCAAGTTAAGACTTTACATGTCATTTTAAGCTGTATAGAAGTGTCTTGAAAAATATCTAGTCTAATATTATTTACTGTCATCATGGCAAAGATAAAATAAATCAGTTATTAGAAATGAGTTATTAAAACTATTATGTTTAGAAATGTGCTGAAAATTAATTCTAATAATTAATTTAATAATTATTATAATAATTCGGCTAATAATTCGGACTTCATCTCTATATCTTATGTGTGTGAAAGATGGAGAGAGAAAGAGAGAGAGAGAGGGAGAGAGAGTTGGAGTTAGTGAGTGTGTGTGTATGTGTATACAGGTTTATGTGGTTTACAGGGACATAAAATTGTGCAGTGACATGGTACGACCTAGTACAATGGTGTCCGAACTCGGTCCTGGAGGTTTGGTGTCCTGCAGATTTTAGCTCCAACTTGCCTCAGCACACCTGCACAGAGGTTTCTAGAAATCCTGGTAAGAGCTTGATTAGCTTGCCCTAAACTTTGCTGGACACCGGCCCTCCAGGACAGAGTTTCACATCCCTGACCTAGTAGTTTTCTATTAAGGCGGTTTATAGGGTCGTGTCCCTGTAATTTGAAACTATTAAAAATCATACTTAAGCTCTTTTGACTTTCAAATACTGCCACCATTTTCCTGTGAGGGTTACGTTTAGAGGTATGGCCATATAATAAAAATTACAATATAAAACTGATTATGCTCATAGATTGTCCCTGTAAACCATGTATACGTGTTTGTGTGCGTGTGTACTTGTTTTTGTGACACATCAGGACACAAATCTGTAGAAGACATGGGTATGGAACAGGTATTACAAAAAGGGGGTGAAATATGAGGACATTGGTGACGTCCTCATTTCTCAAAAAGCTTATAAATCCCACAAGATGAGTTTAATCAGAGAATAAAGCTGCACACAGTCTCCTTTGATGGTTATACAGCATACAATGCAGTATAAAATGAACGGAAACCTATGTAATGTACCCACTTTTCACAAAAACAAACGTGTGTGTGTGTGTGTGGCGTTAGAGAGAGAGAACGAGAGAGTAAGTTGAAGTGTGTGTGTGTGTGTGTACAGGTTTATATGGTTTACAGGGACAAAAGTTGTATAGAGCAGGGGTGTCCAAACTCATGTCATGCAGAACTTGCCTCAGCACACGTGCAAGGATGTTTCTAGAAATCCTAGTAAGAGCTTAATTAGCTAGCCCAGGTGTGTCTGATGGGGTTGGAACTAAACTTTGCAGGACACCGGCCCTCCAGGACAGAGTTTGGTCAGCCCTGGTATAGTGACAGGGGTAAGACCCAGTAGTACTCTATTAAGGTGTTTTACAGGGTTGTGTCCCTGTTATCCGAAATGTTTAAAAATCATACTTAATATAATATAATAAACTGTTTTTACAGTATAAATACCTTATGCGTATGGAGTCCATGCTGAAAAATCCAGCTTAAACCAGCCTAGGCTGGTTGGCTGGTTTTAGAGGGGTTTTGGCCATTTCCAGGCTGGTTTCCAGCCTGGTCTTAGTTGTTCAGGCTGGAAAATGACCAGCCAAATCCAGCTGAAACCAGCTTGACCAGCCAGGTTTAAGCTGGATATAGCTGGTTTTGGCTGGATTCCCAGCTTGGCTAGGCTGGTCAAGCTGGTTTTAGCTGGTCATCTCCCAGCCTGACCAGCTAAGACCAGGCTGGAAATGGCTGAAAACCAGCCTGGAAGTGGCCAAAACCCCTCTTAAACCAGGCTGGTCAACCAGCTAAAACCAGCCAACTAGCCTAGGCTGGTTTAAGCTGGATTTTTCAGCAGGGGTGTCACAGTAAACCATGTACACAAGGGTGTGTTTGTGTGTGTGTTTGCTGGTTTTGCAATACTCAATGACTCAATTGTCCTCATTTAATTAGTGAAATATGAAAACAACCCATTACTGAGGACATTCATTGGTCCTGACAAAATAAAAGTGCTTATAAATCAGCCAGAGGATGCTTTTATTAGTATGTACTGATGTGCACCTCTGTGAGGGCTGGTTTAGGGGTAAACCATAGACAGTGTCAATAACCCAATAGAAAAACAATAGAAGAATATGAAATAAATGATAAATAAATAAGTGTGTGTTTGTGTGTGTGTGTGTGTGTGTGTGTGAGTGTGTGTGTGTGTGTGTGTGTTTTTTACCCTCTCATAAAGGCCACACAGTAGATCAGCAAACCAGTAGAAGCACTGTATGTCTCTGCAGATCCACACGAAATACAGCCGCTTCAGCTTATAATGGCACCAGTCGTCACTGCAACACACAACAGCACTTACTCCATCTATCTCTACTGTAAACGTGGACGCTGAGTGATCTTTTGATCAAATGTGCACACTGAACAGGGGTGTTATATTCAACAAAGCAAAACTCACTCAACTGAAGCTTCCATTTCCAGTGTGACAGATGAACCAAATCTGAGGTCTTTTTGTTGTTGTTTTTATAAAATATTTATATTTATGAGATGATAAAAAGTCACCATTTTCACAGTAAAGTCCGTCCTCGCTAAAATAAAACAAGATTTGAAGGAAAACATGAAGGAATTAAGTTAACCTATTAGTCTTTACAACTCTAAGTGGGTTGAACATAAAGCAATTAAGCTGTCCCCCCTAATAACTTAAGAAGTGTGTCGTTTCAGCTCATTTTTAATAATTAGTTGGAACAAACAGCAAATGTCATGCTTTGAGTGCATAATTATTTCAATTAAAAGCTTTTTAGGAAATTTAATATGAATTTGGCAGATGCTTTTATACACAGCATCATACATTTAACCAGTCCATGCATTTTCTGGGAAACAAATGCAAATACATAACCCGCCCACTGAAGCTAAGCAGGGCTGCGCCCGGTCAGTACCTGGATGGGAGAACACATGGGAAAGCTAGGTTGCTGTCGAATATGGTGTTAGTGAGGCCAGCAGGGGGCGCTCAACCTGCGGTCTGTGTGGGTCCTAATGCCCCAGTATAGTGACGGGGACTCTATACTGCTCAGTGAGCGCCGTCTTTTGGATGAGACGTTAACCGAGGTCCTGACTCTCTGTGGTCGTTAAAAATCCCAGAATGTCCTTCAAAAAAAAAAAAAAAAAAAAAAAAAAAAAAGAGTAGGGGTTTCACCCCGGCATCCTGACCAAATCTGCCCATGGGCCTCTGTCCATCATGGCCTCTTAACCATCCCCATATCCCAATTGGCTTCTTTATCTGTGTGTCCTCTCCACCAATCACCAATCACCGTTCCGTCATCCAAGTGGATGCTGCACACTGGTGGTGGATGAGGAGATTCCTCCCAATGTGTAAAGCGCTTTGAGTGCCCAAAAAAAGCGCTATATAAATGTAAGGAATTATTATTAATTTTTATTAACCCCACAGCAAAAAAAATGCTTTACTTTATTAGACTATTTTTTTTTTTGAATATTATATTTTTATTTTCTTAAAGCAACATAGAGCGATACAGAAAGCAACAGCAATTATAAAGACAAAACAGAAAAAACAATCAAAAAATAAAATAATAAAATAAAAATAAAAGGGACATAAGACAGAAAAAAGAAGGTTTTAAAAACATTATTACATCAGTTCCTCTACTATTATACATGGGTCAACAATGTTACACCTATATATCTAGGCCAGTGGGCGCAGGCAATATGGTGATCTTGCAAACGATAACAGGGTTATACCATTAAACTGTTGTTCTGGGCATTTGACAAATAATTAAAAAAGGGTTTCCAGGTGGCTTCGAAGCCGGCAATGTTGTCAGAAAGATTGTGTCTTAATCTCTCTAAATGTAAAGTGGTGAAAAATTCTGAAAGCCAGGACTTAAAAAGTGGTTTTGATGTCGTTTTCCATAAATAAAGAATAATTTTTTTAGCTAACACCATTCCATATTGAACAGCTTTTTTAAATTGTTGACTGAACCCACGAAGTGAGTCAGACCAACCAAAAACAGCGATTGCTGGATCAGGGGCTAGGTCACAAGAATATTTATTAGACTTTTTGTCTTGTTTCTTGTCCAAATGTCTACAAAAATGCTTCTTTATTTAAGAATTTAAGATGTTTTGTGTTTGTTTCGCTTTCCCTTCTCTTTTCTGTTGTGTATTCGGTCCTGCCCCAGATGTGTGACTATTGGTTGAGATGGCTGTCAATCATCATTCTGACGTTGCACGGCGCACCAATCGAGAGCTGGTCTGCATCGTTTACAAAGCATTCGCTTGCGCTGATCGAGAGGAGCACCTGATTCACTACCAAACTCCTCACCAGCCTGTTCTTCATGTTCATATTATTTTCAGTTGTTTAGTTTGCCTCTCATTTAAGTGCGTTATTGTTAAGATAAGCTTTTGTAGCTAAATTTACTTTATTATTAGGAAGTTGAACTATCTTTATCAGAATTTAATTATCAGATAAGCTTTTGTTTTGCTAAATCTAAACAGTGTTTACTTTACGACAACTCTAGTAACTCTTACCGTACGTTCACACCGAAAGCGGCGAGAGCGTCAAAGTAGCCAGAAGTCATTCATTTTCAATGAGAGCCGGCGGCGATAAGCGGCGAGGAGCAGCGCGGCGCGTCTTCGCCGGCGTGAGCGTCGAGGAGAGTTGAAATGAAGTCAACTTTATGGTAATGAGCTATGACGCGGATCGGCGGCAAGCAATCAGAATGAAGACGTCCACCGCTTGATAGCAGTTCAGATAACACAGACCTGTGAACTTTGGTTCCGACCACAGTTGTTCCCAAGGGTTTGATTATTGCGGTCGCCAGATTTCCAATTATTTACCATTTTTTCCTACAGGAACATACATTAAATAAGTTACTGGCGAGTTACTGATGTTCATTGATGTTACATAAATTTATCTGAAAAAAGCGGGAATCTCACGCGATGTGACAGTACAAAACAGTATAACTTAGCTGCTTCAGGATATTTCAGACATATGGACACATATTGGATAAATAGAGCAAAGCCACACCACACGCAACTTGATCTTCCATTGTTGTATGAATTTGATAAGAAGTGCGCAACATTTTCACGCTAGAAACATGTTTTATGCAGGAATGTAACTGATATGCTGCAACGGCTCCTTTAAATATGAGATCAATGTAGCGAGTTTTGACGCTCTCGCCGCAGGAGCTGAAGGCAGAGAGCGTTGTCGCCAGGGCGGCCAGAGCGACCTTGGACGCTCTCGCCGCTTTCGGTGTGAACGTACGGTTAGTTATTTTATGGAGGAGTTGCCACACCTGTAATCACGCTTTAACTAGTTAGAGATTGAGAAATGGTCAGTTGTGGGCGGGGCTTTCCCCTTCTGATGACACGTACAAAGGGAGAACGTCAATCAAAGTGTTTCTGCAGACTGTTTATATCAAGTGTGATTATAAAAAAAATACAATTAATTAATTGTTACCGTTGGAAGCGGCTTATATTCACAGACTATTCTCTGTGTTTAAACCCCTTATAATAGTGATTTTTGCACAATAGGTCCACTTTAAATAAATTCAAAATCCAATTACATAAATGTTAACAAAAATGATTATTTATCTTGAATTTGGTCATTTTGCTTGCGCTGTGATTTACAGATACTCCAGTTAGCATGATGGACATGTTTTCTCACTCACTAAAGTGCTTGAAGGACACAAGCGAACGGCGTGACTCCGATCCCTCCGGCCACACACAGGCTGACCTCATAATTAAACACCTCCTCTGACGGACTGCCGAACGGACCATCCACGTGCACCCTGGGGGCGGGACAATAACCACAACAACCAATGAGATCACAGATGCTGAGTGTGGATAGTGTGTATCGTATTTATTTTTCTATCTGCATCAGAATTATAAATTTAAAAAATTTAAAAGAGCAAGAATCAAGAGAAACAAAAAAAATGTATTATCTTTCTATTTCTAAACATGTTCAGTGACAAAAAAATATTTTAATAAATATATCCATTTAATAAATCTGTTTTGTTTAAATGCACCGAAATTACACTCACCAGCCACTTCATCAGGTACACCTTACTAGTATCGGGTTGGACCACCTTTTGTCTTAAGAACTGTGTTAATCCTTGGTGGCACAGATTCAACAAGATACTGGAAATATTCCTAAGAGATTTTGCTCCATATTGACATGATAGCATCACACAGTTGCTGCAGATTTGTCGGCTGCACATCCATAATGTGAATCTCCTGTTCCACCACATCCCAAACGTGCTCTATTGGATTGAGATATGGTGACTGTGGAGGACATTTGAGTACAGTGAACTCATTGTCATGTTCAAGAAACCAGTCTGAGATGATTTGCGCTTTATGACATGGTGCATTATCCTGCTAGAAGTAGCCATCAGAAGATGGGTACACTGTGGTCATAAAGGGATGGAGATGATAAGCAACAATACTCAGGTAGGCTGTGACGTTGACATGATGCTCAATTGATACTAATGAACCCAAAGTGTGCCAAGAAAATATCAACCACACCTTTACACCACCACCACCAGCCTGAACCATTGATACAAGGCAGGATGAATCCATGTTTTTATGTTGTTGATGCCAAATTCTGACCTACCATCCGAATGTGGCAGCAGAAATCCGTTTCCTGTTCTTAGCTGACAGGAGCGGCACCCCGTGTGGTCTTCTGCTGCTGTAGCCCATTCGCCTCAAGGTTTGATGTGTTGTGTGTTCAGAGATGCTCTTCTGCAGACCTCGGTTGTAATGAGTGCTTATTAGAGTTATTGTTGCCTTTCTATCAGTTGGAACCAGTCTGGCCATTCTCCTCTGACCTCTGGCATCAACAAGGCATTTGTGCCCACAGAACTGCCGCTCACTGAATATCATTCTCTTTTTCGGACCATTTTCTGTAAACCCCAAGAAATGGTTGTGTGTGAAAATCCCAGTAGATCAGCGTTTCTGAAATACTAAGAGCAGCACATCTGACTCCAACAACCATGCCACGGTCAAAGTCAATTAAATCCCCTTTCTTCCCCATTCTGATGCTCGGTTTGAACTGCAGAAGATCCTCTTGACCATGTCAATATGCTTAAATGCATTGAGTTGCTGCCATGTGATTGGCTGATTACAAATTTGCATTGACGAGCAGTTGGACAGGTGTACCTAATAAAGTGGCCAGTAAGTGTATTCTAGTACGCAGGTATTTGATAAGCAAATTTCCATGATTTTTCCCAAAACATTTTGTGTCCATTTACTTTTTCCAAAACTTTTCCAAGTCTGGAAAATGCCTTGTCAAAACTCGATGACTTTTCCAGGTTTTTCAGGACCGTATGAGCCATCTGTTTCATATATCTATACCATTAATGAGGGAACATTATTTACTAAAACACTGAAGACTTTCTTCTGATGGCATAATTGAAATCAGGAAGGAAGCAAACACACACACACTCACAAGCGTAAAGAAAACACACAAACAAACAAGCACACATCCACCAATGCACACAGGATGAGGATGTGCAGTCATTTCCCACTGTAAAAGCTCTTTTATGAGAGGAAATGATGTCACGGATTGGACGGTGAAGCTTGTTAAAAGTCTGTCACCTGACACCCCGCCCACACAGCGCTGGAAAACTGCGGTTTTCCCAGGAAATTACGGGGTCGAAGGGTCGTGACCTTTCCCCTCCTCAAATACCGCATCAGATACCAGGTCAGACCTTCAAGAACCAGAAGACAATTCTCCCAGAAGGCAGAAGACGACTTACGTGGGATATCGCCTCTGGTGCATCATGGGAAGGATCTCAGAGCTGTTTGACGGTTGAAGCAGCAGCTGAGAAAACCTAGCTGAGAAATGACAGGAAGAAAATAAATCAACATTAGGTTACATGTACCAATAACAGCAGGCAGTGTGCAGTGCTCTGGGTGGTTGTTTATTTGTTTCTACGAGGTTCTAAATAGTTGTTAGCATGTTGCTAAGAGGTGCCGAGTGTTTTAACATGTTGCTGCGTAGACCTTAAGATGTTGTGAGTGGTTGTTAACCTGTTATATGGCTAATAAAGAGTTCTAGGTGGTCGTTATCATGGTGCTAAGGGGTGCTATGCGTTTTAACCTGTCTCTATGTGGCTGCTAAGTGCATCCAAGTGGTTGTTAGCATTTCTAAGTGGTGCTGTGTTCTTTCATGCATGAGTGCTAAGAGGTTTTGAGTGTTTGTTAGCATGTTGCTGTGTAGTCTTTAAGATCTTGTTAGTGATTGTTAACCTGCTACATGGTTGCTAAAGGGTTTTGGTAGTTGTTACCACTGTGGTACGGATGCTAATGTAGTAGGTGGACCCTTTAGGTGCACGCGTTGCGTGCTAATCACGTCAAGGCTTTATAGGAGCCCTGATCCCCCCCCCCTTTTACACTAAGGGTTTAAACCTGTTGCTTTGTGGCAGCTAAGAGCATCCGAGAGGTGGTTAGCACGATGCTAAGGGGTGCTATGTGATCTAGGATGTTGTTGGGTGGGTGCTAAAAGCTTTTAAGTGGTTGTTAGCATGTTGCTAAGGGTGCCAAGTATTTTAGCATGCTGCTGTGTAGTGCTTAAGATCTTGTAGGCCTAAGTGGTTGTTAACCTGCTACATGGTTGCTAAAGGGTTTTGGTAGTTTGGTAGTTGTTAAAATTTTATTTGACACAATTAACGCAATAATTTCTCCACGTACCTCATGCAAAATTGAGCAGTCATCAGAGATATGTGAGAGATTTAAAAGGTTCTTTACTGAGAAGGTAGCTGATATCAGATCCTCTTTTGCCCCTCTCTGCCCTAGTTCCTGTGTGGACTCGACAGTTTCTTCAGCTACCTTCTGTAATTTTGAACCAGTGTCTCTCTCTGAGTTGAGGGGTTTAGTGTTTCAGACAAAAACTTCAACTTCGCCGTGTGATCCTATTTCCTCTAATCTTTTAAAGGAGACTTTCAACACAATAGGTTCTAGTATACAAGCAATTATTAATTCCTGCTTAGTTTCAGGCACTGTCCCTGCGTTTTTAAAGCATGCAGTTGTCCAGCCATTGCTTAAAAAACCCAATGCAGATATAAATTGCTTAAATAACTTCCGTCCTATCTCTAAACTTCCATTTATGTCAAAGGTTCTAGAAAGAGCTGTCTTATCACAGCTACAGCCTTTTTTAAAATCGTCCCATAAACTTGAACCTTTACAGTCAGGTTTCACTATGCACCACAGTACTGAAACCGCTCTGTTAAAAGTGTGGAATGACTTACTGCTGTCGGTAGATTCAGGCAGTAATGCAGTTTTGGTTTTACTAGATCTGAGTTCTGCTTTTGATACAGTTGATCATACCATACTTCTGTCACGTCTGGAACATTGGGTGGGCATAAAGGGTTTAGCACTTCAATGGTTTCAGTCATATCTGAAATCCAGGTCTTTTTCAGTTTCTGTTGGCCAATTTATGTCAACATCTGCCCCTCTTCTGTGTGGTGTCCCCCAGGGCTCTATTCTGGGTCCAATGCTCTTCAACTTATATATGCTTCCTCTTGGTAATATTATAAGGAAACATAACATATCTTTTCATTTTTATGCAGATGACTCTCAGCTGTATGTTCCTTTAAAATCTCAGAACTCCCTGCAGTCTCTAATTAATTGTCTTGAGGATATTAAATGTTGGATGGCAAAAAACTTCCTTCAACTTAATAATGACAAAACTGAAGTTATTCTCTTCGGCCCCTCAAAAACAAGAATGTCGTATATTGGGGGCTTGGGAAGTCTTGCACCGTATGTTAAATCGCAAGTAAAAAATCTAGGTGTTATCTTTGATTCTGAGCTTTGTCTAGAAAAACAAATTAGCTCAGTGGTTAAGAATAGTTATTATCAGCTGAGGATCATCTCCAGACTCAAATCCATTCTTTCCTTTCAAGATCTGGAAAAGGTCATACATGCTTTTATCACGTCCCGCCTAGACTATTGCAATTCTCTATATGTTGGTCTCCCCCAATCCTCATTGGCACGGTTGCAGTTGGTTCAAAATGCGGCAGCTAGACTTTTAACAGGCACCCAAAAAACATGCTCATATCTCTCCAGTTTTAGCATCCCTTCATTGGCTTCCTGTTAATTTTAGAATTCAGTTCAAGATTTTACTTATTGTTTTTAAAGCACTGAATGGGCAAGCACCTTCTTATATATCAGAGCTTATTAACTTACAGTCAACTCCTCGGTCTCTTAGGTCCTCAAATAAAATTTTACTTCATGTTCCTCGGTCACGACTTAAACTGAAAGGGGATAGAGCCTTTGCAGTCGCTGCTCCTCGTTTGTGGAACCAGCTGCCACCGGATATTACAAGTGCTTCTTCTCTCTCTATTTTTAAGTCCAGACTTAAGACACATTTTTATTCTATTGCATTCCCAGGCTTTTAATCTTTATTGTGGTTGTTGCTGTAATACTTTTATTCCTATTATTACTTTTATTGTTATCTTTTACTCTTTTAGAGTGTGTGCTATGGTTTTGTTCAGCACTTTGGTCAGTGCCAAACTGAAGTAAATGTGCTTTATAAATAAACTTTACTTACTTTACTTACTTACTTTACCACGGTGTTACGGATGCTAAGGGTTTTAACCTGTTGCTTTGTGGCAGCTAAGAGCATCCGAGTGGTTGTTAGCATGTTTCTAAGTGGCGCTATGTGATCTAGGATGTTGTTGGGTGGGTGCTACAAGCTTTTAGGTGGTTGTTAGCATGTTGTTATGATGTGCCAAGTGTTTTAGCATGTTGCTGGGTAGTCCTTAAGATCTCGTGAGTGGTTGTTAACCTGCTATATGGTTGCTAAAATGTTCTAGGTTGCAGTCACCATGGTGCTAAGGGTGCTATTTGTTTTAACATGTGGCTGCTAAGGGTATCCGAGTGGTTGTTAGCATGATTCCAAGTTGTTCTGTGTGTTATAGCATGTAGTTGTGTGGGTGCTAAGAGTTTTTGCATGATGCTAAGGGGTGCCAAGTGTTTTAGCATGTTGCTGTGTGGGTGCTAAGGAGTTTTCGAGTGGTTGTTAGCATGTTGTTACTGTGTGCCAAGTGTTTTAGCATCCATGCTGGAAAAAAAGACCTGAAAACAGCCTAGGTTGGTTGGCTGGTTTTAGCTGGTTGACCTGCCTGGTTTTAGAGGGGCTTTGGCCATTTCCAGGCTGGTTTCTAGCCATTTCCAGCCTGGTCTTAGTTTGAGGCTGGAAAATGGCCAGCTAAATCCAGCTAAAACCAGCTTGACCAGCCTGAATTAAGCTAGACATAGCTGGTTTTGGCTGGGCTCAGACTAAGACTAGGCTGAAAAATGGTTGGAAACCAGCCTGGAAATGGCCAAATCCTCTCTAAAACCAGACTAGTCGACCAGCTAAACCTGTTGCTTTGTGGTTGCTAAGAGCATCCGAGTGGTTGTTAGCATGTTTCTAATTGGTGCTATGTGATCTAGGACGCTGTTGGGTGGGTGCTAAGAGATTTTGAGTGGTTGTTAGCATGTTGTTATGGTGTGCCGAGTGTTTTAACATGTTGCTGTGTAGTCTTTTAAGATCTTGTGAGTGGTTGTTAACCTGCAATATGCTCGCTAAAGGGTCCTAGGTAGCTGTTACCATGGTGCTATGGGTGCTAAGGGTTTTAGCACCCTTAGCTGTTAGCATGTTGCTAAGGAGTGCTGTGTGTTTTAAAGTGTTGCAATATGGTTGATAAGAGGTTCTGAGTGGTTGTTAGCATGTTGCTAAGTGGTGCTATGTGATTTATCCCATTGATCCTTGGTCACTAAAGCCTAGTTCACACTACAGGATTTTAAGCCTAATTTGAGCCCGATTTGGAAGTTAGCGAGCTCGCCAACAGATCGGGCTGTGATCAGGAAAATATCTTGGGGCGCTCGGCACTCAACAGTCTTTAAGTATGAACTACTGAACAACGCATCAAAGAGGCTCGCTGACACATCGCCAACACTTAGCAGATGGAAATCCAATATCTAGCATGCTGAATATTCCAGAGCAGTCGGCCGACTCGTCCTCACGTGCAGTCAGATATAGTGACGAGCTGCAGCCAATGAGAGAGCATATCAGCATGAGCTAAATGACCATTGTGCTCAGGAGCTCAACAGAAACGTCTGTGATTGGCCAGAATGGACATCGATGCACACGCTTCATTCTGTGTTAACACGGACATGACAGCGGGCTTTATTATCAGTGGAACTAGAATACTGTAACTACTAGAATTACCACACTGGTGATTCTGACCGTTCTCATCGAAGACATCATATTGTCACGTCATAATTACATTCAAAACTTTTACTGAGATATTAATATAAGCTTGAATGTCTGAATATTTTATGACATCATTAACCTAAAAATATTATTTTTTTGGTAATACAGTCTATAAATATGTAGTTAAGATACTTGAACATGCAAAGGTCTGGGCCTCGCTTTCATTTTCACTTTTAAACAGGAGCTATTTTGACAGAATATGCTGTTTTGAAAGATATATCTGAGGTAAATTTATGTTTCTGCTATCAGAGAGTTCTGTTTATGTTAGCAGGAAGTTGCTTGGCAAAAAATGCATGCATATTTAAAGTCACAGCGAAAAGCAGCAAACATGCATGCAGTCATTTTGACCAATATGGTAATAAAGGTAGCTCTGTTCTTTACTGTTAGAAAGAAATACACAGATATTTAGGAAACGTCATGATGTGTAGATATGTTAGTCTTATTTCACTCTGCGTTCAACTTTTTCTGACGGCTCCTCCCTCAAAACTTCATTGGCTGTGGTATGGTAGCTTGACTGAGCTGTTGGGGAATGAGTTGTTGTCAGATCATGTAGTGTGTGACCCCCCTTCTTGTGGATCATTTTCATAGTGTTGCGTAGTGTGAACACCACAGCAGTTAAAAGACACAAAATCAAGTCAGGTAGTGCGAACAGCACAGCGATCTGCCGATGTTGAAAATCCTGTAGCGTGAACTAGGCTTAAGAGTCTTTGAATAGTAGTTAGGATGTTGCAGCACTCAAAGCTCACAGCTTTGCTTACATAGCATAAGGGGCGGGGCTATCGGATGCTGATGTTGCATTATTTTGTTTATTTTGGATTGTGTGAAGCGGAGGCCAGCTTAAGGAAATCCTTCTACAAGTGATCATTTTTTAAAGGGGGTCATTTATTTCACTAATCTGGCACACATTATACATTGACTGCGGAATGATTTGAATTTGTTTAAACATCAGTGTGTCATTTGGGACGACACTAAACTCATACATGACACGGTTGAGTGTCTAAGTGTATAGTGTGTCGTTTCTGACACAACTTTAGCTTTGAAGTTGTTAACTAGCTCAAGTTTCTTAAATATTTTGGCCTCTAGGTATGGATAAGTGCTTTATGGTAAAGCTGTGGGACTCCTCACTGTTTTATCACCTGCGTGTGTGTGTGTGTGTGTGTGTGTGTGTGTGTGTGTGTGTGTTTGCATTAGGTGTGTGGTATTTCTTTTGTGAAGTGAGTTTTTCTTTCAGTATATCTGAAGAATGACATAATGGAAAGAGTCAGAAACATGACTGAGCCAAGAAAACTGTGCAGTGGTGTGTTTTAATCCCACATCACAGAAACCTTTGAACTCAGTTATACTGATCACAAGACCTTATTTATTGTGTGTGTGTGTGTGTGTGTGTGTGTGTGTGTATGAGAGGGAAAGTGTTTGTGAGTGTGTGTGTTTGTCTGTAAGTGTATGTGTGTGTGTGTGTGTGTGTGTGCGCGCATATTTGTACAGTATGTGTGTTTGTGTGTGTGTGTGTTTGTGTGAGTGTGTGGGTGTGTGTGTGTGTGTGTGTGTGTGTGTGTGTGTGTGTGTGTGTGTGTGTATGTGTGTGAAAGAGAGACAGAGTCTGTTTGTGTGTGAGAGAGTATTTGTCATAGTCTGTGTGTGTGTGTATGTGTGTATGTGTGTGTGTGTGTGTGTGTTTGTGTTAGTGTGTTTGTGTGTTTGTGTGTGTGTGTGTTTGTTTTAGTGTGTGTGTGT